ATCCTGGATGAACCAGACTCTCCTCTTGAGGTTAGACGACTTTAATACCATTTCACGGTATGCTTGATTATTTAAAACGTCGTTAATGACACACAATTATTTTTTAACTAACAAAAGGCGTGCATACCAATTTGGGGATATTTTTTGTTTCGGGGGCGAGGTTCTATGCCCTATATTTCTATATACTGGTCACTTTTTCAGCTATGTTCATTCTCCAAAGGAACTTCGAATGCATTTTAACATAAAACTGTATTGAAAGACACCATGAATTGTTTTGATATTAATAATTAATGAGTGTGGTAGAAGTAGTAGTAGTGGTAATGGAAGTAGACGAAGGACCAAGTTCTGCTGTGTTGTGCTGGCTGTGAAAATAAATCTTCCTCTGGGACAATAAATGTAATGCATTTATTTTTAATAGTAATGTTTCACAATGGTTTATAGATATTTTAGCGCAATATGGCATCCGAACAGCTCCTGCAGTGTGAGAACTTTGATTAGATTCACTTCAGAACTGCGGACAGCGACATAAATACTACAGCCACTCGTGTGTCCTGTTTGTCAGCTGCCGTTTCCACAGTTTTAATATTGGTCTCTGTTCTTTTCATTATTTTTCATCGTCATCATGTAGAGAAACCGTGTTTTCTGAACTATATCCCCTTCCAGTCTTAAAATGGATTTTATATCCACCGTAAACCCCGATAGATCTGTAAGGTCTGATAAACACATTTTCTTTGAATGTGTATCTGTTATCTTTAATTGTATTATTTTGATGACGAAGACAGTACATAAGATGAATATCAATCATGTTGTCCTCCTGTATTAGTTTGGAAAGTCCAATATATTTATTAAATAGATGTGTTGTAACTAAATATCCAGATGGATTACAGTGAGCTCTCCGGAGTTTAATTTCAGTTGGTGTTCTGCAGTTTTATACTATGGACTCTTAGGGCCGCTGTTGACCAGAGTGTTGATGACTGAGTGCAGGGTTGAAGCAGCACCTCCCATGTAACATCGACACAATACAGAGAGAACACGACGGGCAAAGAACGGATAAGTCTGGGTGTGGAACATTTTTATAAAGAAGATGAGACATTTCGACCTGCAAGACATTTGCTTCCAATGAGTGGGTTAGGAAAGTGATACCTTGTGATTTGGCACTGGAATTTCAGAGTTATCTGTTTTTTTTCTGGAGTATAATCAGACTGTGGAGCTTTACTGGGAAAAAAATCGGATAGAACAATGAATCGGCAAGTACTGTTGTTTATCTCTCTCCTTTCCTTCGGCGCAGTGGTCGGACAGGTCACCTACTCTATTCCAGAAGAAATGGTGAAAGGGTCTTTAGTGGGAAATATAGGACAAGATTTAGGTTTAGAAATAAAACGTTTGATGTCGGGTAAGGCTAAAATCTATACTAGGAACAGCGACGAGTACATCGAGCTGAACAGAGAAAGAGGAGTCCTCCTCGTCAAAGAAAGAATCGACAGAGAGGCGCTATGTACAGAGACGGCGCTTTGCGCTTTACATTTTCAGATTATTTTAGAGAATCCGATGGAATTTTACAGCGTTACAGTCCAGATCACTGATATTAATGATAATGCACCAACCTTTGAAAAAAGTGAAATTGCATTTAAAATTAGTGAGTCAGCGGTCACCGGAGCAAGATTTGTGCTACAAAGGGCTGAGGATCTTGATGTTGGAATTAATGGTGTTCAAAGCTATGAATTAAAACCAACTGATAATTCGCTCTTAAACTGCCACAATAACGCCGCATGCGGAACTAAAAACGTTGAGATGGTGCTGCAGAAGCCTTTAGACAGAGAGAAACAAGAGCAGATATCTCTTGTGTTAACGGCTGTAGATGGAGGAGAGCCGCAGATGTCAGGAACGATGCTGATTATCATCACAGTTTTAGACGTTAATGATAATGCCCCCGTTTTTACACAGCAAACATACAAAGCTACAGTTACTGAGAATTCACCTAAAGGAACTGTTGTTGCCACTGTTACAGCCTCAGATGCGGATCAAGGCTCTAACGGTAAAATAACTTATTCAATCACGAATACATTAGGAAATGTCAAGAAAATATTTGAGGTAAATCAGGAAAAAGGCGAAGTTTCCTTGATTGGAAATATTGACTTCGAAAAGTCAAGACATTTTCAAATAAATCTACTTGCTAGTGACGAGGGAGGACTCACAGATTCTTGTAAATTAATTGTTGATGTGAGAGATGTAAATGACAACAAGCCCGAAATTAACATAATGTCAAAGTCAACTGTTATATCAGAGGATGCCAAACTCAATACTGTCGTTACAATGATCAATATTGAGGACCTGGATTCAGGAGAAAATGGTAATGTGAAATGCTTTATCAGCGATTATGTACCCTTCATTTTAAAAACATCCACAAATAATTTCTATAGTTTAGTGACAGACAGTGATTTAGACAGAGAGACAGCCTCTGAGTATAATATCACAGTGACCTGCTTTCATGTAATATCACTACATCATCACGAATACATCCTACTTCATCAGACAAGACCCACCCGACTGTCTTTTAGGCCTCATATCAGTTTGTAAGGTACTTGGCTTTTCAAATCCAACTTTTCCCCAACCTAAATATCCGACTTACACCGTTTTGCATTGATGTAAACGTTGGTCAGACATGACTGTCTCCAGTGTGGGACACTGAACATAGGACCCTTCCCCGCTTTGTTCCTTGATCTGCATCAGAGAAGCACTGACTGTTGTTAAGGTTGTCCCTTTCTGGAGATGTATTCGTATGCTGCTTTGTAAACGGACTGCACAAAAATCAGCAGCAATCCATTGACTTTACATCCCAGCCCGAGCGGTCACATAATCGTTTTTACGTACTAGACTCTGAGTCTTCCCTCCAATCGACAGCTGTTAGACAACAAAAACTGATGAGGCCTCTGTCGCTCTTTCTCGCCAGATCTACGCGTGTGTAAACACCATTCTATACCTTTTTATTCCATCTGCATGCTCTGTATGTATTCAGTAACAGATTCCTGTAGTTTTCAAGGTGTGATTTTCAGGCCATTTCACGCCAAATGTCTGCATAACCGCTCTCCCATCCCTAGACTACAAATTATAGATCCGTAACAGCAGATTCGCATAGTTTCAGAAAGCGTTTCCGTAATTGTTTAAACTGGGCTGATTGTCGTTGAATGTCGGTAATTCGTCTACTGTTATTCTAGAACAAGCTCCATTGGGTTGTTCTAGAATAATCTGCAAATGTAAGCACAAGGCGTCGTCTTGTCTGCAGAGCCGATCCGTCTGGCGAGTTCTCTCTTTTCACAAGCAGGCTGCCTCTGTCTCCTACTGAGCTCGATGTATTCTGCACTGTCGCCGCGTAAACTATGCGGGCTTTACCGGGACCGTCAGTCTTTCCACATTTCCAGACCTAGACCCGTCTATGTGCCCACCTACAATACCGCTCTTTGCCATTTCCCGCTGTGTCCGGAATAGAGTACTGAACTTGGCCCCGCCGCCCGCGCGCCCCCCCCCCGCGCGAGACGCGACGCAAAAAGAGAGATCGAGATGAATAACAGTACTTGCCGGTCTCAATTGTTGCTACACTCACAACAGTTTTACGTTGCGGCCACAAAAGGTGTTTATAAAATCCGTTTCCAATACAAATATCTCAATGTGAAAGATAAAATACATGAAACGAATCCCGGTACGATCCCAAATTTTTTTGAAGCAGATTCTATATCTCCAATGTGGCATCTAAACGGTATTCTGTCCGTGACGTGCTTTCTCCCCTTTTCTTTCTCCTGAAATAACTTACATGACAATGGGAGATCTGTTAAAACCCTGCCGGTACATCTACCAACTTGACCCAACAGCGGCATGGAGTTGACAAAGACCTACCTTCCAGCATAGAAGGGTAGAGCCTAATACTTCAGTTATGAATTAAGAGAACAAAAAAATGCATATTTAAAAAAAAAAAAAACCCACTTTAAAATGAATATAAAAATCATATAATTGAACAAATAATGATAGAGGTAGTAACTTAAGTAGAACTAGTCTGATAAACCAACGAAAGCACATTATCCACTGTATCAAAAAGACGAGAAGAGAGAGAAAAAGTCGAAGGTGTTAGTGCTCGTTGTCCAGGTGCTGATAAGCTTGTCACACTGTATCTTAGACAGAGACAGCTTTGACTAGAAACCAAAGGGAAACATTTCTAGAACCCTCTAGACGGCAGAAGTCTGGTCAATCAGGAATGCTCTTTTCACTCTGCATCCGCTGCATCGTCCCTGTAGAACTGGGGTCCATTGATATCAGCACGTTCTTGACTACCGCATGCCCGAACTTACAGGCCTCTTTCTGAAGGTCAGTCGTCCTTGCACTCTAATGGTACCGTGTTGGAAGCAGTCCCTGTCCCCAAAAAAGTGTAGTGACGTGGAGGATAATACTGGAACACAGGGAGAATTGGAGTGTTACCAGGACGCCGAGCTGTCTGCCATCGTGTTAATTCGTTCACTGATATAATCAGCCACTAAACATCGTGTGAAGAGGAACGGCCCCTACAGCCAACACCACTACTAAGTAAAAAAGTCAGGTTGTCATTGTATCCCTTGTCTTGTGTAAAGTCAGTGGAACTCCTGACAGCACTTCAGGTAAGCTGTCCGCCAACCCGGCACGTTACACCAATGATGTAAGCTGAACGAAAGGCCTGCACCGTTGTCCTCCCACCTAATAACAGTCAGTCTTTGTTTCACAAGCATTCCATTTATAGTGACTTGGCGGCACTAGTTACTTATTTCCTCCATTCTGTAAGCCCACTCAAACAGCCGCCCTGTCTGATGGCCTTTCTGCAGTTTATGAGAGCCAGGACTTCTGTCCCAGATCCACATCACAGCACCACTTTAGTGACCAGAAGCCCCACATCTGCTGAACGAGGCACGAATCCCCAGCCCCCAGAGAGCCACCAGTCGGACTGGGTAGCAGAACCTGAAGGAGGGTATGTCCGTTCTGGATCCTTGGATCATTATTGCCTTCCACACTCACCAATTGCTAGCTGAGTGGCAGGGAAAGCCTCCATCCCTGAAGCTTTGATGCGGAAGTGGACACTTTTGATCTGCTCGAGTCAAAAGAAAGCGCACTGCATTGGGGACTGACTCCACTATCAGCACTACCGACACCATTATGAGGAGATGGGACATCGTTAACAAGGAGTCCTCCCAGTGATGTAACGAAAACACGGGCATCTCTTGGTTCCAGTCAGCGTCTCTGACTTTCTGTGAATACTACGAGAGACTGGTGTATGATTGTTTTCCTAACATGTAGGCTCATATGAGCTCGGTCTCAAAAAACAGGCGCGTTATCATTCAACATCAGAGATCTGTAGCTGAGAGTTGACGGCTGCTGGAGAGGGGGTACCCTTCCCTCATCGAGC